TGTCTATGATGGCAATATCAATTATAAAAACAAAGGAAGACCATGATATTCAAATAAAATACACTCGTTTTGTAATTGCTGCAGAGTGACATTTTAGTCCATTGTCAGTGATACTATACTGGTTGTTGAAACTTTGGGGGATATTGACCTTTGATAAAAAGCAATTTACTGGAGGAATTTTTCCTACCTGTTTCTTAGAAAAAAGTGGAGCTCAGGGAGGAGACTGTTAAGGAACACACTCACCTTGGCATAGATACAGCTGTCGTTGAGCCTCTGTAGCGAGCAATTCTTGTCACAAAGCGGGCACATGAAGACTTCAGTAGCCTTGCAAATTTCTTGGCTTGAGAAATCAAAGAAAAAAAAAAAGAAAGCATGAACCTCCACGTTCAGAAAGGTGCTTAGCCCCTACGGTCAACCCTGTGGGAAGCAGCCCGGCAGAGAGGAAAAGAAGAAACGGAAATGGTGGCAAGTGGTCAACAGACAGGTGAGGAAGAAGTTAAGACTGTGGCTCCAACCTGAATTTTTTGGATATTTGTGATACAGAGGTTTCTGTTTGCTTCTTTGTTTTTGGAAATCTCTGCTCAGATGTTGTAAGGATCATAGGCCCTATCTTACACTTGGGGGCCACTTCTGGGGCTTTGTCACATTAAAGGCACCTTTAATGCATGATTTCACAGCACACAGGATCATCTTGTGAGGAACACCCAAAGGAGTTTTAACCAAACACACAGGCTTGGAAGTAGCTGAGGTGGAATCAAACCTGATTATTCCGAATTCTCAAGCCTCTTGCTCTTGCCCCTCGACCTCACTGCCTGAGAATCACCGCAATGAACGGCATCCATAATCCACACAACTTCATAACCCCCACGGCCATCAGTCGGGAGTTGATTTTTTTTTTTTTTNTAGTGTGGGTGGTTCAAGGTCAGATCCTGGGTGATTGGCAGGAGAATAAAGTGAGGAGAGGCCTTCTGCCTAATGGGAAAGGAATCCTTTCTCCATGAAAGAAAACTCCAGATGAAATCTCCAAGAAAATTCCTGAAGCAACACAACAGACTTTTCTAAAAGCAAAAATAAGCTTGTCCAGTCTACAAACGTATATTTGCAATGAATTATTTTATTAGAATGATAGCTTTCCTTTATGTATAGAGGGACCAATGGACAAACGTTTCATTCAACACGGCTGATGTGAGCAAGGATAACATGTGAAGACAGAAGCAAACTGAGCCTCACACAAAGCTGTGTTTAAGTACAAATTCTCCAGTATCTTTGACATCTGATTTCTCTTGGAGAGCTGAGTGTGTCTAGAAATCAATAAATTGGGTATTGTTTAAGGAGATACATTTCTTATTAGGTTAGAAGCTTAAAGTCAACGTCTCCCCTACTGTAATTGCTAGGTCTCTCTCTAAAATTGTTTGACGGGTTCAGAAAAACATATGGCTCTGGAAGCTGCCATTTAGACACCCATCGAAGCCCCTCTAGGCTAAGGAGAGCAAGGAGCCTCTTGGGCAGATTCAACCCTGCAAACCAGGTTGTTTGGGGTGGGGAAAAGGGAGTCAGGATTTGGGCTGGAGCTCAGCCCTCTCTTAGTTGATGGGCAGGGCAAAATCTACATAACCACGCAAGGTCCTTGGACCTGGGCTACATGAAACATGCAAACTTCATTGGTTCTTCCCCCACCCCTAACCCATTACTTATTTAGGGCAATAACTTTGTAAAATGTGCTCCTAGGAATCAGAATTATCTGAATTGCTTGTTAACCTGCAAATGTCTAAGGCTTACCCCTGAGGCCCAGAAATGTGCTTTTAAACAAACGTTCTAGGCGATTCTGATGTATAGTCTTATACCAACTCTTCCATGAGGTTTCTTAAAGAAGAAACACCTTCTGTCCTATTTCAGTTGTAGCCTCACTATCATTATATGGTCTGAGGCTCATACTAGGTATTGAACAAATGTTTGTTGCACAAGTGAAAAAAAAAAAGAAAAAAGAAACTAGAAACTATTATGAATAAAGCTAACTTCAAGGGTCATTTTTAGCATTTTATGAAAAAGCAATGCAGGGCCCTCCCATCTAGTGATTTCACCTTAAATGAGAAATCCTACCATAATAAGAACTGACAGTATGGTGTCAGGTCCTTTAAATGAGTGTGCAAATAGCACTGAATTACTTAATTGCAAACATTTCTCAATTCCCTTACTTTTAAATATTAAAAGTGAAAATAATCATCAAAGAAAATGTTAATGTACTTAAATATAATTTTTATCACATGAAGGGACCAGTTTTTTTAATGAAACACATCCTTGAAATTATTAAATGAATAATTACATGTATACACATACTTTTCAATAAATATGGAAGATTTAATTTCCTATTACTTGTCACAAGGGGTGATTGATTCCTTAAGGAATTGACAATTTCCTAGATGATGCAGCTAGGTGCTCATACAGATAGACAATACTACAATGGTTGGCTTGTGTCTTTGGTAAAAATCTGCTCTCTTATTTCTTTTTTCTTTTTCTTTCTTTCTTTCTTTTTTTTTTTAATTGGGGAACAGTGTGCTTTCCCAGGACCCATCAGCTCCAAGTCGAGTAGTTGTTTCATTCTAGTTGTGGAGGACGCATCTCAGTGGCCCATGTGGGGATCGAACTGGCAAGCTTGGTATTATGAACACTGCACTCTAGTCAATTGAGCTAGCTGGCTGCCCCCGCTCTCTTATTTCTGACACTGCCCATCAAGTAACTTCCAGATGTTTAAGTATATAAATTGATATTAAAAGAGAATGTTTATTTTCATCCAGTGAAGGAAGATTAATTCTGATTTTTAAGGTATAAAACAGGTAGCTACATTTTATCTTAGCCACAGGAACCAATACAAGACAAATTCAGTATTTCATCCTGATTGGCTTAATTTCTTTTATTGTTCCATAAGGCACTTCTTTTCCAGCTTTCTTATACTTACTAAGGTGAATTCTTTCTGAGTCTTACCCGTCCCTATACATACTCTTTTCTACCAATAAAAAGGGTGTGTGTATACTGCATGACAACAAATGCTCCCTAGATTGAGTGTTTCCTTGGACAGTTTCTTCAATTTATCACTCTGCCGTATGTGGATGTTGATTATCCTTAGTGTTCAGATAATGCCAGCGTGTTTTACTAGATCCTTCCAAGTAAAAGTAGAGCATGTATATGAATTTGTTGGTGTTCCTAAGGCTTTCATATGTCTTTGAAGTGCATGGACCAGGAGAGGGACAACATGTATATATACCTAATAACTCTTGGCTTTTGCAAAAAGTGTTGAGAAAATGCTTTCCAAAATGAGACATCTTTGTGGAACATTTAAAAGAATCCAAAGCTAAGTGTATGTTGAAATTAATCTATAAACAAAAACAGACTTCACAATCCATGTATCCAACATAAATAATTCAGAAGCTAATTTTACCAAGTTTGGTCTTATAGTAGGATACTGAGTGGCTTTTGATTTTATACCCAGCCTTGTCAAGATTAATTGTATAGAGACTTCTACTTTGGAACAAGATGGAGTGACAGTGACTGATTTTACTCCCATTCTAGAAACAACCAAAGAATGTACAAAATATATAAAGGAACAGATTTCAAGACAATGGATGTTAGGCAATGTTCCTTGAGAGCTAGGAAACAAATGAAGTGAGTATTATGACTTCCTCCGGTTACTACACTGAGTTAGCAGGGTGCAGAAAGAAATGACCCAGAGAATGCCCCAACAAACATGTGTATAAGGAAACTGCCTGAGGAAAGAACCATCTGCAAGGATTAGAGGTGACAGTGTCAGGAGCTCACACAAAGACAGGAATCGTGCCTATTCCAGCAGCCAGAATGGAAATCCTCATTATTTACAGTGCACTGGGTAGAGTACACGAAAGATCTTGCTTTTAATGTGGGCAGTAACGCTAGTCAGAGCACTGCTATGAACCCATCTCACAAATATATTTCTTTAAAATTTAACTTAATTAAATATGTTGGGATGACTTTGGTTAATTACATTATTTAAGTTTCAAGCATGAAATTTTATAAGATAAATCTTGAAATCAAAACCCAAAAGGATCAAATTTTTTCAAGTAACTAAAATCACAATAAGATAGCTCTATATAATATCTATTAGAATAGTTAAAATTGAAAACGCTGATCATCCTAAGGATAAGTGGCTATGTGGAAAACTGGAACTCTCATACACTGCTGGCAGAAATGTTAAATGGTATAAACACTTTGGAAAACAGTTTGGCAGATTCTTAAAAAGTGAAACATCCACCAATCACATAATCCAGCCATTTTACTCATAGGTATTTACCCCCCAGAAATAATGGTGCTTGTCTATAGGAAGATTTGTAGATGAATATTCATAGCAGCTTTACTTAGAATGCTAACAACCCCAAACAACCCAAAAGTCCACTAACAGATGAATGGATAAACAAACTCTGGCATAGCCACATAATGCAATGCTATAGCATCAAGAGGGATGGTCCATGGGTGGCAGGTTAGCTCAGGTGGTTAGAGCGCAGGCTGGTAACACCAAGATTACTAGTTCGATTCCCACATGGGCCAGTGAGCTGCACCCTCCACAACTAGATTGAAGACAACAACTTGACTTAGAGCTGATGGGTCCTGGAAAAACACTTTTCCAAAAAAAAGAGGGATAGTCCACTATGGGTAAATGTTATACGACATGGATGAATCTCAAAATAATTATGCTGTGTGAAAGAAG